CGGCCAGAGATACTACAGAGCAAACAGCCTGTCACTGGCATTGCTGCACGCACTGGTACTGCTGCACGCACTGGCATTGTTTCATGCACTGGCATTGCTGCACGCACTGGTACTGCTGCACGCACTGGCATTGTTTCATGCACTGGCATTGCTGCATGCTCTGGTATTGCTGTGGTCTGTCACCTGCTTAGCAATGTGTCATGAAGATGCCCTTCTGATGCTCCAGCAGAGGAGCTGCTATTCTGCAGTGTTCACCTGAGCTCCTGGGGACTCCACTGGACCCTTCCTCTAAGCCCTAAGCAGATGCGCTGTGGGACACAGATGGCCTGCAGCTGTGGGGGGCCTACTCTTGTAGGCATAAGAAGCAGGTGTGTGCTGGTGTGGGATAGCCAGCCTGAACGGTGGACGTATGTTAGTCATTATGAATGCACTCGTTAGCCACAATCCCTCTGCAGGATGCATGGCAGCCCTCTCTGTCTCTCACTTCCTTCTAAGTCTTGGAATGTGTAGCAAGTTTCCTCTCTGTCCTTTTTTTGAAATCTTGCGAAATGAGTCATTAGGTAATTCCTGGGAGATAGGAGTCCTCGAGACCTTGTCACTGGCTCTTGGGAGCCCCAAGGGCCATTTGCTGATAGGTTGCTGGACTCTCTCCAATCATTATGATAGGCTACTGGAATCTCCACACTCATTATGATAGGCAGGCCCTGCTCACTGCACCAAGCTCTGCTTCTGCACCAATGATATCTGTGGATGAAGAGCTTATAGCTCCGCCCAGCTGCTGCTCAGCTCCGCCCCCCTGTTCTAACAGGCTGTCCTGCTCATGTAGAGGCTGCACTCATGTGATCAGAGTGGAAATTCCGCTCCCTGTAGCTTGTCCCGGCATGAATCATGCAGAGCATTGAACACCCTCGCCAGAGGCGTGGAAACCTCTTTCCAGCCCTCACTCCATTCACCATCCCCATCTGTTCAGTGATGGCATTCTAATAGGCACCATTTTTTTCATTGCCTTGTTGATACAAGTCATGCTGGTAACTTGGTTCACGTGCCTGAGGGATAAACAAAACAGTCTGCACTCCAGGTTGCTGTTGAGGTGCAGATAGGAGTCAAAGATGCAGAGACGGCTGAATAAACATCCCCCACGGGTACCTCTAGCCCGGCCTGAGGATCCATGCCGTTACGAGGCCGGCTTCCTCAGTAGCAAAGACCGTGATCTGGACAAAGCATGGCATGGAAACCAGGCTCTGCCCAGAGAACACAGGTTCTCAGGTGTCCCTGTAACCTGATCCCTGACAGATACAATACCATCCCCGACCTAAACAGCATCACAGAGCCCTCGCAGGAAACATGAGAGGCAAGCTGAAGGAGCAGAGACCCAGAAGGATCCAACTTGGGTCCCAGATGCCCTCTCAGCTGTGTGCTCTGGCCCAGCTGCGTGGTGGCACAGGGTGGTGCAGGGCAGTGTATGGTATGGCAGGGTGGTGCAGGATGGCGTTTGGCGGCGGAGGGTATCGCAGGGTGGTGCAGGGTGGCATTTGGCGGCGCAGGGTATCGCAGGGTGGTGCAGGATGGCGTTTGGCGGCGCAGGGTATCGCAGGGTGGTGCAGGATGGCGTTTTGCGGCGCAGGGTATCGCAGGGTGGTGCAGGATGGCGTTTGGCGGCGCAGGATGGCGGCGCAGGGTATCGCAGGGTGGTGCAAGATGGCGGCGCAGGGTATCGCAGGGTGGTGCAGGATGGTGTTTGGCGGCGCAGGGTATCGCAGGGTGGTGCAGGATGGCGTTTGGCGGCGCAGGGTATCGCAGGGTGGTGCAGGATGGTGGCGCAGGGTATCGCAGGGTGGTGCAGGATGGCGTTTGGCGGCGCAGGGTATCGCAGGGTGGTGCAGGATGGCGGCGCAGGGTATCGCAGGGTGGTGCAGGATGGCGTTTGGCGGCGCAGGGTATCGCAGGGTGGTGCAGGATGGCGGCGTTTGGCGGTGCAGGGTGGTGCAGGATGGCGGCGCAGGGTGGTGCAGGATGGCGTTTGGCGGCGCAGGATGGCGTTTGGCAGCGCAGGGTATCGCAGGGTGGTGCAGGATGCCGTTTGGTGGCACAGGGTGGAGTAAGGCCAGCTCCTAAAGAATCTCACTGGTCCATTTAATCTGTTTAGCAGTCAGCCAGTCCTCAGAGCAGCTGAGGTTCCTTCCTCAGGGGCCCAGTGGTGCCATCGCTCTTTCAGCCGCAGGATTTGACCTTTCCACCAGTCATAACCCCTCAGTCACACACCACCACAGTATCACTGGGGTCACAGCTGCGGCTCTGATTGATGGGTGGGATGGGGGGGGGTGTCACGGTAATCGTCTACTGCTTTCCAGTCAGTCATCCACCATTAAACATGACAAAGTCTCCACCCCGCCTTTGCTTTTGAACAACCTGATCCATTCTGTGAGTGAATACATCAAAGCATTACCTTTGGTGAAGAACACTCAGATTTTTGTTAAGGGTGCAGGATGTCCTTCAGGAACCTCTCGCTTTGTAGGGCTCCTCCAGGCACACCAAATAAGGCAACAGCAGCCAGCTCTGCTCTCTCTCCAGACCCAGGGGCTGCCACAGAATGGGGCGGTTTGGGCACGAGAACGAGGCATGGTGCAGACACAAATGGTGGACGACCCACTCACGGCTCAAAGGACAAACGGGGTTTATTAACTGAACTTAAAAGACACTAACAAAAACAAAGGACCACAAGGGGTCAAAGGTAAATGGGGATAAACAAAGACTAATTACAGAAACAGGGGTGGGCAGGTGGGTGGGGCGTACATCTAACACCAAACATTAACCTTCACAATCAAAAAACCACTGGGGAACAGAATAGAAGCAGGGACTTAAATACTGAAACTAAAACTGGGTAACAAGACTAACACAGAACAGGCGAGACTGATTAACAAAGACTGGGAAAACAGGGCACAGGTGAAACTGGTTAACTCAAAGGAACTAAAACAGGGAAACTAAGAACTAACCAAAAAAAACAGAAAACACAGAATCTAACACTGGGAGTAAAAAAACCCAATAAAACATAACTAAGGCTCAAAACAAGAAACCAAAACAGAATACAAAAATCACCAGACACTGGAACTAGAAAAACTCATACAAAAGAAACACTAGGGAACAAAATACAAAAACTGAGGAGGCGGGATTCAAACACACGACAAAGGGATTTGCAAGTAGCCACATGGCTCAACACATTGAGCCGTGCAGCTGACATTAAACAGGTGAAACACAAAGACTGACAGGAGGGACAGGATGGCCAGCGACGCCTTCTGGCCAAACGGGGAAGGGACACAAAAGACTGAGACAACAGGAGCTGACCCTGACAGGGACATGGCCTCTGGCACAGCACAGCCAATCAGAGCTGGACTGAGTCCTCACCTATTGCCTGGGGCAGCGGTGTCATTCATGTGGCTTTAAAAACCCTGTGCTAATATCTATGGAGCACACAGCTATGCTTACTGAACACAGCACAGCAATCCTGTGCTAATATCTATGGAGCACATAGCCATGGTCACTGAACACAGCACAGCAATCCTGTGAAGATATATATGGAGCACATAGCCATGGTCACTGAAGATAGCACAGCAATCCTGCACCAATATTTATGGAGCACATTCATCCTCACTAAACACAGTGCAGAAATCCTGTGATAATATGCATGGAGCACACAGGCATGCTCACTGAAGACAGCACAGCAAAAAGGCTCAGTAAAACATAAAATGTCTGTTAGACAGTTAGATGCTTCCTGGTTTTTACCGCTTAAGACAAGAGAAATGCAGAGCACAGCATTATTGTAGGAGAGAGAGATGAACGGTCTATTTGCTTGTGTTCTCCACATAACTGGTAGTGTGTGTGACAGGCCATGTGAGCAGGGCTGCTGGGACAGGAAGGCGGAGTTCAAGGCAGAGCGACAACACTGGGAGATGGGCCGTGTGAGGGGGGGGGGGCTGCTGGGACAGGCAAGCAACGTTTAGGGCTTCACCTAGAACCACAGGTCAATGCTGCTCAGGGTTGATAATCTGAACTTTTTTTTTTACTTTTAAGTATAATGGTCTGCTTTAGGGCCACTGGAAGGGCAGAGATACCATGGTATAATCAGAAAGCCCATCACTTTAAAGGGGCCCCTCAATTTGATAAATAACAAAGTAAAGCTCAGTTTGGGGGGGGGGCAAAGGTTGACATTTTGTCAGGGGGGCCAGAATTTCTTGGCCTGACATAACAGTTCACATAAAAGTAGTACGTGAGATTTACTGCTGGCTAAAGTGTATTCTGTCTACCTTAAACAGAATGGTGGAAATATTACGTAAGATACTAACAGATCTTTTGCCTTTTTCGGTTGGACGGGATAATGCTGTATCAGTTTATACAATGTGTTAGTGCTTGTGATGGTTCTATTAATAGGGCTGGTTATAGGTTACCATGTTTTACATTGAGTTACTGGGTTATACTCATTAATATATAAACCCTGTGTTCATAGAACACGGTGACATCCTGCATTTCTCAAAGAAAGCACAAGTATAAAAATGTTTGTACTTCATTGTGACTGATTTGGGGAAGAACTCTGTCCTGGTAAGTGTACCAGACATTTTCATCTTTTGTCCTACAGGGATGTATTTGGAGCTGAGGTGTTGCATCTGATATGAACAGACAGCAGGGGACAAATACCAAAGCAACAGACAAATACATTCCAAAGGAAACTTAACAGAACAATGAACAGGTTTGGGGGATAGATGGCAAAAAAACAAAGCAAATACATGCACAAGAATACGTTTTATTTAAAATGACGTATACTTTCAAATGAGAAGGAGAATTACTACACTAGATCTGAGCGATTCCTGGTTCTTTAATTGGTATTGTTGCATGTTGTTCTTGCTTCGGAAGTTGGTGTTTTATACTCGGCCTCCGGGGGGCTTCCCTCGTGTAGAGGGGATTCCCGATCCCACCCCCGTCGCGTGACCGCGGTTTCCTCTTCGGAAGAGCAGATCACAAAGCCCCGAGGAACCTCCATGGCTTCCTGAAAAGGAGGAAATGAAGTCGTTCCTGAGATCGCGCGCTTCACTGTTAATTAATACCCGCAAAACCGGGCGCTCCCCAAGAGTACGACCCCCGCGTGCCGCCCACCCCGCGTTTCCATGCCAACTAGCTCGGGGCCAGCGGGGGCTTCCGCCGCTTCCCAGCTGAAGAGGGGGCTCCGTGTGCCAGTCTCAGGAAACACTCGTTTTGAAATTTGTTTCTGTCCTGCGGAGATAAGTGCGCGTTGCTGCAGGGAGGTGAGTGTTTAAAACGGAGTTTGCGGTTTGGGGGCCTTTAAACATTAAACCCCCTTCGCGATAGGGGCTGGGCGCGCATTAGTGAACATTCCTATAGTGCAAACGGAGCATTCAGGGAATTAAAAAGCCCCGAGATGGCGGCTTCTCCGAGCTGGGATCGATGGCACGGTCCTTTTAATCCACCTAAACCCAGCAGTAAACCCGCATTAATCCTTACCGGCCTGAAGGGGCGCGGCTCCTTGCAGCCTCCGCATCAGGATCATTACGGAGCTGAAATGACGGCAATAAACCCCGAACGGTGTTGGGTCAGAACCGCCGGGCTGGACCGGGGCTCGCTCACAAACCTCACATCTTGCGCTTGTAGTGTATGTAGTTTCAAAATTCAAAAGTCACTTTTCTAATACGGTATATGAGCCATTCTTTAATTAATTCTTTCACTCAATTAAAACTGAGTTGAATCATTTTTGAAAAGTCTGTTTCAGTAATCCTTAATCCCTAAACTAAACCACCTATATTCTCTTAACGCCTCTTCACATGCCTCATAAAAGCATAAATGCTTAATTCCACATATAATTCAATATATTTTAATGTGACAAACTGACCAAAACTTTGCATATTAAATAATATGAGGAATTAAGATCTTAATTTTGAAATGTTTTGGTCAGTTTGTCACTTGTCATGAGGCATTAATTTTGCCACATGTATTATATTTCAGTGTACCTGTATTTAATGACAACTAAAGTAAGATACTCATAGTAAAGTCAATATTTCAGAAAAGAACAAACATTTTGTCATAACTGAACTCTAACACCATGGACATCATGTAACAACAGTGACAGAACAAGTGATTTTATTTTACAAAATGGCAAAATTGCCAGACAAAATTTTAACCAAGATCTAATTTTCTTATTAATTATTCTGATCATTCATGACATTAACATTGGCCACTGGTATCTCAGGTGTGGTGTAACAGCACTGACGTTCTGATTACATTTTTGAATGGTTTCCCCAGTAGGTAGGATGACCTTCTATGACTGTTAAAAACAATGATCTAAAAATGGCATTCTTTCGACGAATTTCAATCACCCAGCCTTTACATTGCGTAACTCCAGTAACATGTAGAAGGTATGTGCTGTCCAAGAAGCAAAAATGAATTTGTTAAATAAAATGAGTAAGCTTGGACTCACCTTCTCAGTCATTGAGATGCTTCCTCTATGATGACTACCAACCAAAGGAAGCAGATTGATAGAGCAAGAACCACTGTGTTAAAATGAGTGTTCTGATAACAGCAGTGACCAAAATGGCTGCAAGAAATGTATTTTTTTTAAATAAATTACATATTTTACATATGAAGTAGTAGAAGTAGTGCAATGTTAATTATATGTATAATAAAAATTGAACTGTTTTGTGCAATTTTAGAAGGTATACCTTAAAATAATGAGGGGAATCTGTTCTTTAATCAGACATTCACTGTGTGGATGTACATGCCTGACAGTTTTAAAGACCTGCAACCTCTGGCATGATTTCCGCTCCAAATGGAAAATGGCCTTATCTGTACTGTTTGCTGGGTTTGCATAAGGCAGCAACATTTACCAAAATTAATAAATAATGAATCAAAGTACAAATATTTTGAGCTATTCATGTTACATTTTGTTCGTCAATGGCTGCCATATGAGTGTTGCACAGTATACCTTCGTAATCTTTCTCTCAGTTAATACATCGACTTTCCCTTGGGCTTGGCTGCACTCAGTAATGCTGCATTTCCTGTTTAGCTTTTTCATTTATTTATTCAACTCCGGGAAAAACTAAGAGACTGCTCCATGTTTTTTCTTTTAATCTGCATTTTTAAATCCTGGTTTAACCTTGGTTCTGTGAGGCTACACTGCGAGGCAGACTGCTTCCAGGCTCAAAGTTACTGAGACAGCAGTACACAAGAACACGGTGAAGTTTCTTTTTGACCTGATTCGAGGCTGTTTTTGCAGTGAGTGCAGGGGGTTAAGGCCTGAACATTGTGGGACAGCATCTGCCTGGGCCTCCACTTATGGTCCTGTGTGCTCCCCTCCCTCCCTTCCTGCAGAGCTGGGCTGTAGGTCCGGACATTAACGTGCTGTTAAACGTGCCTGTGTCAGGTGTACCATAGACATCTCTCCATTAAGCAGTAGCCAGTCGCTTTTGCAGCCTGTTATTCTCAAGCTGTGGCCCCATCAGGCTTTGTCCCCCCAGTATGGCCCCATCAGGCTGTGGCCCCATCAGGCTTTGTCCCCCCAGTATGGCCCCATCAGGCTGTGTCCCCATCAGGCTTTGTCCCCCCAGTATGGCCCCATCAGGCTGTGGCCCCATCAGGCTTTGACCTAGACTTTGGAAACCTGCAGTCATGCCTGCTCCTTCATATCATTGCTGCACAGATATTAGCCTGCCTTCCTAAACAGATGCAAGCATCTTGCTGTAGCAGATTCTTGATGTTTTTTCCTGGTTGGTTTATTTGCCTTTCAGAGATGAAGACGAAAAACCCTTGGCACCGGCCACTGATCATCTGCGTCGCCATCGTTTTCGCTGTGGCCGTGATTGGCATGGTGACCACTGGCGTCATTCAGAACAGACACATCAGACAAAAGTACAAGGTACCCTGCCCATGCTGCATGGCTAGTTGAGCAGTAGGAGGCGCTGTAGAGAACACATATTCTATACACTTGGCTTCATTTGTTTGTTCTCCCTTAATAATCATAGCCTCACTGAGAGTACACCCAACTGTAAGCTGTTCTGCTACACTGGAGAAAGGTGTCTCTTAAAAACATATATCTACTGATTGTATGTGGACCCCCCCCCCTTTTTGGCAGTATGGTATCGTCCTGGATGCTGGCTCTTCTCATACTTCAGTGTACGTGTACCAGTGGCCAGCGGAGAAGGAGAACAACACAGGCATGGTGCAGCAGACACACGTGTGTAATGTGAAAGGTATGCTGGGGGTGTCCCATCTGCTAATGGTGATAAAGAGAGCAGAGTGTTAATGTGGCTGTGTGCCACAAATGAAACTGATGGAATTAATGTTGTTTTAGCTATACAATGTCATATAAACTGTGATCACTGTTCTATCACCCTGCCTGCGTAGGGCCTCTGAGACAAACTTTTTTTTGGGTGTGTGTTTGATTTAGCTTTTTCCAGATGTATTTTATCTGTGACGGGCTGGTTATTATGAATATTTATCCTGTCTGTGACGGGCCAGTTATTACGAAGATTTATCTTAACAGTGATGGGCTGGTTATCACGAGTATTTATCCTGTCTGTGACGGGCCAGTTATTACGTATATTTATGCTAACGGTGACGGTGTCACGATCGGGAACAGGCAATCCGGGAAGCAGGGAAAAGGAGCCAGGAAGTTGGGTAAACGGGGTTTATTCGGGGTAGAGTCCACAACACGGGGTAGAACGACGGCAAACAATGACAAGTCTGGGGAAGACTGACTCAGACGAGGACTAAATACACAAGACTAGCTGGTATTAACAAGAGACGGGTGAGAGCAATCAGGTAGAAACACGGGTTAATGAGGGGGGCATGGCACACACGAGGATGGGACAGAGCTGGATGTGACAGACGGGCTGGTTATCACGAATATTTATCCCATCGGTGAAGGCCGGTTATCACGAATATTTATCCCATCGGTGAAGGCCGGTTATTACGAATATTTATCCCATCGGTGAAGGCCGGTTATTACGAATATTTATCCCATCGG